TGCTGCACTTGTAGCAGATTGCTGCGACCGGCTTACCTTTGCCTTTTCCTTTGTTGCCTTTGTGTGGTGCTTGTGCATAGCCCTTGCTGAATGGATTGCCTTGTCCAATCGGCTGTTGTTGCCATCCTTTCTGTTGCATCTGTATCTTTCCTTTGCCCTTGCCGAATCCTCCTTTGTTGTAGTTTCCATTGCCTTTTCCCTTGCTGTCGTTGTTGCCCTTGTTCTGCTTGCTTTTGCCCTTGTTGCTCTTTCCTTTGTAGCCTTTTCCTTTTCCTTTGTTCCTCCTTGGTATGTTGCTTGAGCTGATGTGGCCTGTTGCATCCTGCTGAAGGCTGTAATCGACTTGTAGTATTCCATGATGGTTGTTCTGATGTGTGTGTATGATCCCCACCCCGTATCTCTACAAACCGGGGGGGGACCTGTCTAAATGTAAGCTACATTTTTCAATGTTTTTTGGGGGGAGGGGGGGTCTAAGAAATGTAGCTTACATTTAGACAGGTCCCCCCCCATTTCTTGGTTTTGAGAACCCTTTGAAACACGCTTTGGGGGGGGGTCGTGCGACTGTCGTCTACCCGACGAGGGGGCGGGGGCGGGGGTCGTACGAGCGTCGTCCACCCACCCGACGAGAGGGGGGGGGTCGTGGATCTCTTCGGGAGTGGCTCGAAGAGACGTGTTGCGAAACACAGGAAAAGCATCAAGAAAAGGAAGAAAGGTCTAGAGGAAAAAGGGGAAAACACAGAAGAGAAGAAAGAAAGGTCTAGAGGAAAATGGGGAAAGCGCGGAAAGGCGTTAAGAAACCGGAACCTCCAAAAATGTAAGCTTCATTTTGGGACGCCCCTAAACCGTTGGTATGTACCTAGACATTGAAAGGCAACATATGAAAACTACAAAACTAAAGATGCAGCCGGGAAAAGCAGCCAAGAACGTGTCCATGCAAAGACTCTACGGTCAAATGGCAACTGAGAGGGGAGGAACATATAAATAGAAGACAGAATCCAGCAGTAGAATGCAGCAGCAGATTCTCATGAGCGGCTCCGTCAGGAAGCGGGTAATGGCCCTAGGGCGCACTGGTATCTAAGAAGAAGGAAAGAAATGCAGAAAAAAACGGGAAGAAAGGTCTAGAGGAAAAAGGGGCAAACACAGAAAGGTGTTAAGAAATCGGAACCTCCAAAAATGTAAGCTACATTTTGGGTCGCCCCTAAACCGGTGGTATGTACCTAGACATTGAAAGGCAACATACGAAAACTACAAAACTAAAGATGCAGCCGGGAAAAGCAGCCAAGAACGTGTCTATGCAAAGACTCTACGGTCAAATGGCAACTGAGACAGGAGAGGGGAG